AATGTTTGTCTGTACTGGTAAAGATCATCAACTTTTATGCCAAAATCTCTCTAGTCATTTTAGTTGTCAGGGTTCTTTCTCTACAGATGCCACAGGAATAGCTGTTGTAGAATGGGTGGCCTAGTGGTGAGAAACTGTGCTACAATCCTGAAGGCACATAGTTTAAGTCCACTAGTTGTCCCGCAGGAGAAGGATGGGAAATCTCCTCCCATCCAATTAAATGCCTCTGAAAACCTGCTGGAGGGTTAGCTATTGAGTCAGTTAAACTCAGTGGCACACAACAACAATAGTATCTATATATCTCCACCAGTAGATTCCAAGGAGTAATATGGGCAGTCTCCTCTTATAAAGTTTTGCCGCCTTTGAAACCTGATGAAAGGTGGTCAAGAGTTGAAATTGGCTCAAATAACGACTGCTGAAAGAACTAAAAAGTTGGGAAGTGCAACCAGGGTACACCTTAGGGGCAAGGATAAAGAAACTTCATCTAACATATTTTGAGCATCAGTTCTTGAGAAAAGGATCATGGTTGGGAAAGTATAGGATCAGTGAAAGAGAGGAAGACGCTTGACATGATGTATTGACAGTGACATCAACAGTGGACTTGAGCATGGTGGAAATAGTAAGGATGGCCTTAAATCCATTTTCTTTCTTTTATTATCTTAAATAGGCTGCATTACTTTCTTCTGAAATGAATACGTTGCCTTTGGAAAGTCTCATAATGATACCATTTTCCTGCCTCTACAAGCTATTTGCTTTTTATGCCTAGTACACCAAGGACTTTTGTTTTGTCTTTTCAAGTCAAGTAATTTTATTGTAATGTATCTTGATGTTGTTAGTTTGGAGTTGATATTCTCAGATATGTGTTGTGCTTTCAAAATGTAATTTCAAATCTTTTTCTTTCAGAAAAGCATTCTTCAAATTATGTATTTCAGTGCTTGCTTCTCTCTTTGCTATGGTTTTCATCCTCATGAATTCCTATCATCAGTATAATGGATATTCTTTGCCTATTTCTCACTTGCTCTTTAATCCTTCTACATGCCAAATTCCAGCCATACATTTATCTAAGCAATGATTCCAAGACAAACTATTATCACAGCATTCAATCGCAGGTCTTTTGAATTTTGAGCCAAGGAGCTAGTCATTTAACTTTGTAATATCCTTTCTACATAGTAGTAATAATAGTAATAGTAAACATTTATCAAAATATCTGAGTTACACACAACACTGTTACTTGCTTGCTGTATGTATTTCATTTGATCCTCAAGACAAGTTAATGAGATGTTCGCCAGAGGAAAGAAAATAGAGATTTAGACAGGACAGGCCAATTTCCCAAATTCTCAGAGCTGTTAAGTGACACAAGAATGTATTCAATTTTAAGCATAATTATCTTCAGGCCCAAATTCTTAACCACCTTACTATGTTGTTATATAAATAAAAATGTGATTTGAGCTTTCATCTGTTAGCTAATAATCTCCAGGTACAGGGCAACACTGCAAATGTCCCCATAACCATGTGCATGTTCCTAATATTACACTTGAATGAGTGCAATTAGTTCTCAGCATAATGGACTTGTTCTTTAGGCAGAGCTCAAGGGACCTTGTATTCTGGTTAAGGTCACCTAGTGCAAGACAAGGAACAGGAGGTATCAGAGGTAAAGACCTTGAACAAAAGAAGTACTTGAAGAATCTAGGATGGGCCCTTTACAAAAGAGGTTTGCTAAGGAAATAATTTTAACTAATGTAGCTTATCTCATCAACTTTTCTGATTTTAATTACACAATACATAAGGCTGAGACATTTTGCCAAGGTTCTGATTGTTTGTATTGTAGTTAAGTGCTGTCTGTTATAGACAACTCATAGTGACCCTATGAATGAAAGACCTGAACAGTTGTATAACTTTCATCATTTCTCCATGTTCATAGAGTTTCCAGAGGCAAGCTGTTTCAGAAGTGGATGCCACTCCTGCTTCCAAGCTTCTTTTAACTGGGAAGCTCCACCAAACACTGTCCACCATGGGTAACCATTATCAAATTAGATACATCAGTGTCATAGTGTACAGCATCACAGCAACTACAAGTTACCACTGTACAGCAAATGGACAGACCAGTGCTATAGCACTTAGAAGAATGTTTGACCAAAACCAATTAAAACCAAGCCCAAGGGCCACAGGCCCAAGGGCCCAAATGTGTTTTTAAATAGGAGGCTGAATCAAATTAACTCATACCCATTGATGAGTAAACATTCTACCCTAATCCTCACCAGATCCAGCCAATAAACCGCTGTAGAATCCAGCTGCTGCAGACGACTTTAAACCTGGATTCTAGCCCCATACTACTGACGTTTAGCAATATTTTTTATTCTGAAAGTAGATCCCTATGTCCCCTTTCATTAATCTTCAAATCTAGATTTCCTTTATCCTTAGAAATCTACAATATAAAGATGTTTTGATTTCTTGTTTTGGCATTGAAGAGTTCCACAGACCATTCTGGAATTAACCCCATTCCATCTTTAAGATCTTAACTGAGGGCTGGTGTTTTCTTTTTAAGGATGAATGTGATATAAAAAGATATCACTAAAAAAAGAAGAAGATATCACTAAAAAGCCTTGGGATACTTAAAAAAACAGGACAGAGAGAATGTCATATAAGCCAGTTAGTATAAAAAAAACAACCTAGCTTTTTTTTTTTTTTTTAGTGACTGGAAAAGAGGAAAAGTCAATCACCCTTTCTTTGTTAAGAGTCATTTCTTTTTCTGTTATACAAACCTAGCACAGATGTTCCACACAAGAATGAGGAGAGCTGCAGGGGCTTAGCTCAGAAGTCAGACAGAGCTGTACCCCCTGCTATATGTGATTATATTTGGCCTTGTAAGAAAGAAGATGCTAAGACTGATGCCACTGGCTTCATTAATTTTCAGTAGGACAAATGCAATCAGGGTAGACTGATACTCTGATTTCCCTAAGATTCATAGGGGGTTAATAGATAAGATTTCTATCATTTACCTGGCCAAATACTTACCTAGTGAGAAATGATCTCACAATTCCAGTTTCTTAGACAACCCCTTCATTTCAGAGCACTGTGCTTCTACTATAAGGATTTTCCCTACTCAGTAGCTTCCAGCCCAGTTCCAGCCTCATGTGTAGAAAATATGTCACTTAAATGTTTATGTTTTAGTTTTCCAGAGACTAGAATGTTAATATTGATTCTATTTGGCTAACAACTCACATTTATTCTTTCAATGACTATTATCAATGACTTGGATGAAGATTTGGAGGATCTGGAAAAAATCTGTTAGCATTCATTTGTCTTATTTAATTTAGTCTAACATACATGAAGAAGTACATTGTGTAAGGAGAAACAGGCAGAATCAGGCGATTAGGTATCCTTTGTATATATTTTTTCCCCTCTCCTTTATCATATCAGTAGAGGTTCATCTTGCAACCTCTCGAATAGTAGGTTTTGTTCAGGACACATGTCATAAACCAGCATACCACTCCTCTGCGGAGTTAGGAATGCAGAGACCCTTTCTCTGTACCTTCAGAATCAACACATTTGTTGAGAATGAAAAAGACCAGGCTTTGACATTTCCCAGCTTGTTATCTATTTAATTTTCCATCTGCCTCTTTTGCTGCTGCCTTCCAAAGGAACATCTGCTGCATGTCTGAGAGAAGGGAAGGAGGATTGGATGTGTGCCACCAGGGTCTGCAGTCCGGAACCTTGGAATCCGCAAGAAGGGAAAGGGAGAAGATAAAGCGAGTGAACCCAAAACAGGAAATGAGGACACGCAGTTCATTGGGAACACTGTTGTATTTCTATTTGCTATGAAGTCCAGTATGACCTGGCAAGCTGGACAGAAGTATTCCAACCATGACTTCAATATTTCCTAAGATAGACTTGACAGAGACAGATATTTTTTGCTTTCTGTATATGCCAGAGTTACTTTGTCTGGTTTGTAAGTTAAAAAGTTGAGACCAAAGCTAAGAGTTAATTAGCTAGATTGTTTGGGTTTGTTGCCTCATCCTGAGATTCCCTAGCACATCTTCAGTGTGGCCATTATCTCACTGCAATTATTTCTCTCCATTCTGTGTGTCCATGACTAAAAGTGAGCTATGTAAATCCTTTCCTTGGCTTGAACTAGTATTCACTGTTCCCACCCAAAACTCTGGAAAATCAGATAGAGCTGGTGAGTGCCATGGCCTAAAAGTGTGGGTTGGTACCATCTTGTTTCATGCCAGCCCAAATCCCTTCTTGGTTCTTTCTGAGACATTGAAGAGCAAGAGCAGTAGGTCGTACCACCCACAGCCCACAAGTCTGTCTTCCTAGACTGAGCTTCACAGGTACAGCTCTGATGTGTCAAGTGCTCTGTGTGTCCCTGGGTCTAAGGTTGAATTGTTTTGTTTCTGTTAAATGCTAATGAGTTTTATGTAAAGTAGTCCAGGGAGGAACTTAGGCAAAATTAGTAAACTATTTCTATATTCCAGGCTTAACATTTTCTATAATTTGAAACAACTGCACATAATTTCCTTTAGCTTTAGTATAATGCAGGCATCAGACATAATAACTCTATCAAGAGGGAATTAATTGCTGAAACATGACTGCATTTTATTGATAATAGAGAAAATTACATAGTCACATGGGCATCCATTTAAATGAAACACAACAAATCCTGAGTTAGTCGCTTTCCAATGTTTTTTTTCAGATTTTTTTCTTTTTAGAAAAACGTCTGCTCAAGAATTCTGTTATTCTATTGTGTTTTGTTCTTTTTTTCCTTTTCTTCTTTCTTAATTTTGAAGTAAGATATTACAATCTTTTCTCCAGAGTTTTCATTGAACTTCTTCAAGCTGGTGGCTGTACCAATGCTGTGGTCACCACAGCCTCAGAGTTGTAGGGACCTCACCATTTTGCCTTGTCTTGTCTGAGGGAGACAGGCACATAGACAAAACCATCCCTCATTTTTTTTTCTCCACACAATACTTATAATTGTTTTATTTTCTCTCCAATAGGACTATCAAGAGGCTTCCAATTTGGAACAATTCGTAACTCGGTTTTTATTGAAAGAGACCTTGAATCAGCTGCAGTCTCTTCAAAATTCCCTAGAATGCGCAATGGAAACAACGGAGGAACAAACCCGTCAAGAAAGGCAAGTTCCGTATTTTCACACAATGCCCCTTACTGACTTTGTGTGTATGAACAGCCAATTGAAAGCATGATCTTAAGAAAGTAGAAACTGAAAATGAGAATTAGGGACTTTCTACAGAGTAGCAGGAAACAGCTCTGGTGCTTGGAATGAAATTTATTCCTGAAAAAACCATTTCACTTTTTCTTTTACTACCATCATTTAGTCAATACATTTTTTAATGGAGAACAGTGGATGGAAGAGATGTTAAAAGACACAGGGGATGGTAAAAAAAAATGACTAATGGGGAAAGATTTATTTAGTTCGTCAAGAAAAATAAGTAGTAATATGATAATAGTTGCAGAAATAAAGGTACTAATATCAAGGAAATACCGAAAATAAAAATATGTAAAGGAGACATCAGAATAATTCTAAGCAACTGTTGGTTCTTTCATGAGTTGCTCTTATTTTACAAAGAGAAGGGCTTAGCCAAACTCTTGCCTATACTAGCACTTTGTGCAGGCTGATGTGGGGTTTTGATGGTGTTTTTTTAATTGGTTTTCATGTAGTTATTTGTATACATGGTGTTTCATTCATGTACATTTTTTATGCAGTTATTCATATACATTTTGTTGTTGGTGGTGGTGTTATCTGCCATTGAGTCACTTGCCACCCATAGTGACCCTGTGCACAATAGATGTGAACTTTGCTCTATCCTGAGCCAATCTCAGTGACTCCAATCCACCTACCCCCCATTACCCTAGTCACTGAATCAATCTATCCCATCGAGGATCTTCCTCTCCCGCACCCTTTCAAGCATGATGTCCTTCTCCAGGGACTGGTCCCTTTTGGCCACATACCCAAAGTATGTCAGATAGAGCTTCAAAATCGTTGCCTCCATGGAACAGCCTGGTTTCACACTCTCCAGAATAAACCTATTTGTTCTTTTGGCAGTTCCTAGTATGCTCAATACTCTTCTCCAACACCACAACTGAAGGCATCAATTCTTCTATCATCCTTAGTCATTGTCCAGCTCTCTGATGCCTGTGAAGACTATGGCTTGGATCAGGCACATCTTATTCTCTAGACTAACATATTAGCACGTCAGCATGTGGAGAGGTCCCTGACAGCAGACTTTCCTAATCCAATTCATTTTTTTAATTTCCTGGTTACTGGTTCTAAGAGTGTTCATTGTGGAGCTGAGCAAATTGGAATTGTTACAACCTCAATATCTTCTCCATCTATCATTTTGCTGCCGATTGGCCCAATCATGAGAATCTTTGTCTTCTTGATGTTGAGGTTCAATCAATATTGAAGACTGCAGTCCTTGGTCTTCTGCAGCAAACGCTTCACGTCCTTCTCAGTTTCTTCAAGCAAGGCTTTGTCATCTGCATAATGTAGGTTTTGATGAGTTTTCCTCTAATCCTGATGACACATTCCTCCTCATAAAGTCCAGCCTCCCTAATTAACCTTATCACATATAAATTATCCTCCAGATTTCTTGGAACAGTTTGGAGAGCATGCCCAAGGCAGCATCTGTCTGTTGAAATATCTCAATTAGTTTTCCATCAATTCCTGGGGCCTTATCTTTTGCTAACTCCTTCAGAGCAGCTTGTACTTCCTCCTTCATTACCATTGCCTCTTGATTATATTCTTTTGTGTCAGCCAATTCTTTTTGGTACAGTGACACAATGTACTCTTTCCATCTTCTTTTAATGCTTCCTGGATCATTCAGTATTCTGCCCATAGGATCCTTAAGCATTGCAACTTGAGGTTTGAATTTGTTCTTTAGTTCTTTCAGCTTAAGAAATGCCAAGTAAGGTTGGCACTTTTGGTTTTCTGACTTGAGCTCCTTGCACAGTTCATTATAATACTTTGCTCTTTCTTCTCACGCTGTCTTTTGAAATCTTTTGCTCAGTTCTTTAACTTCAGATCCCTTCCTTTTGCTTCAGCTTCTGGACACTCTCGTGTAATATCCAAACTCCTCTACGTCTTTTCTTCCTCCTCTATCTTTGCAATGACCTCTTGCTTTCTTCATGAATGATTTTCTTTTAATTGTATGAATGATAGTCTTCCTATCCTCCCAAAGTTGATCTGGTCTGCATTCATTATATATGATTAATTACTATTGATCTATGCTAATTGTCAACCCATCTCTTCAAGTCCTCATGGAATCTGCCCTATTTCTTCACACACACCCCCCACCTGCGCATGAACCTCTGCTATCCTGTTGTTTTTCTCCTTCCTCTTCTTTTTCTTCAATTCCTTTTCCCCTTCCTTCCTTCCTTTTTTTTTTTTTGAGGGTGAGGGGGGGAATAAAAAAAACAAAATCCCTTTCCCCTCTTGAACATTTATATGTACCTTACTCAGTTATCTTCCTGTTTTCACAATAGTGGTCTTATGTAGTATTTTTCTTATGTACAGAGTAATTTTACTCAGCATATAACTTTGTCTTACTAACTTTTCCATATGAAATTAAGGACACTCACATGATAAATGCTTGAGACAGGTTAACAATAAACTACTCTGCGGGGCTGATCTTTCAAAATAATTATATGGATACATTATTATAAGGACATCTGAGAAGAATAGTGAAGCTTTCAACCATATCATTAAAATGGCAAAATGAATGAGCTCTACCCAGCTCCACAAATAAGACTGTCATTCCCAGCACTATTGAGTCCGTGCAGTTGATACACATGTTGGTGCACTCTTCAATGGATTTGGGCACCATTCTTCAATTGGAAGCTTTCTATTTTCACTGCGTTGTGATTCCATATCAAATAGCAAAGCACGCTAATTAGCTTTAGAAACACAGCAACCCAGCTTTTCTGCTTTGAACAGAGGAAAACAGAATGTCTTGAAGCACAGTGAAATTGATTTCATGTTCCTAATGGGAAAACCAAGCCCATTTTGATGTTTCTTCTGATTAGATTTTCTGGAAAGAATGTGGATTCTCCCTTTTGATATCTGTAATTTGCCACCTAAGAGGCTGTGGAAGGACCGGGCTCTGCTTCTTCACATGTGCTTGTATGTCTTTCTCTGCAGACGTGTGTTCTTGCAACATGGGGAATTTGTAATTAAATACTGTTCTTTGGTTAGGTCACAAGCTGGCTCTCAACTCGTAATTGCTACCAGCAGCTCTGGCAGCTGTGTTTAATGGGAAGAAACATGATAATAAGAAAGTGCAAGCAATGTGGGAGACAGTAGAGGGCTGATGAATCTATTACCCATAAGCTTCTAGCTCAAAACTAGTGTGGAAACATTGGGAGCCATTAAAGGTCTGATGTCAGTTCTGGGATTGTTATTATATTCACTGTTGTTGCTGTGTAACTTTGAGTCTGAACCAACCCATAGCTGAACCTCTGGTGGGTTTTCAGAGGCATCTTGAGAGGAGATTGTCATCCTCCCGCAGAGCAGCTGGTGGATTTGAACTGTGTGCTTTAAGAATTGCAGGGCAGCTTCCTGCCACTAGGCCACCAGAGCAATAGCATTTGACAAAAGCATGCAGGGAGTCCCAAATCCTGCCATAAATCTCTGATACAACTCCCTGGGAGTGGATCTGAATGCAGAAGAATATTCTCTCCTTCGTCAAAGGAGAAAATATTTTTTCGGATCTATATTCTCGCTCACCTTATAAACTTGTACCTTCTTGTCTGGCCAACTTCTTTCTGTTTTCTAGATTAGCATTTGGACATTACATTCTCTGGGATGCCTTTCCTGATCACATAACAGGATTAGGTTTCTCCAACTTATGCCACATATTCTTAAAATAAAGCTGTTATCATTAAGTAAATTTAATGCATGATGACCCCATGTGTGCCAGAGTAAAATTGTGTCCCCTTATTGGATTTTTCAGAGTAGATCTTGAGAATTTTCTTTTCCAAGGCACCTCTGAGAACTTCCAGCCAGTGGTCATCAGCCAAGAACAGTAACCATCTGCACCACCCAGACACTCCTACTTCTATCCAGTACATTGTGTTTGGAATCCTAGCCTTGTTTTATAACATTAGACTCAGAAGAAACACTGGTAGCATAGTGAGTAGCGTGTTGTACTTCTAATCAAAAGGTTGGTGCTTGTAACTCACCAGCCATTCCATGGGAGAAAGGTGAGCAGTCTTTCCCTATTAAGATTTACAGCCTTGGAAACCTGATGGAGAGTTTCTGTGCTTCTATCAAACATGAGATTCATTGGTTAAAGGTAATTCTAGAAACCGCTGTAGGGAAGCAAGAGGTGAGAACTTGAGGCAGTGAGGAGACCAACCTAAATGGTACCTGGAAATGTGAAAGGTTTAAAAAACTGCATGTTGAAATTACAGTCCTACCAAAGATTGCCTTTGCTAGCAGCAAATAGGGACACAATACGATGCAAGCAAAGTTATAGGAAAGTTAGTAAAATAAAGATATTCACTACAGGTTTGGAGAAAGATGGCAGTCATCCCCATGTGATTTACAGTTTGGTTACACAATGGAGGGTGAGCTGTGAGTGGGTTTAAATTTGACAGTAGTGAGAGTTGAAAGAGTTGGGTAAGGAAAGCACAGAGAGGAAGGGCCAAATAAGTGTATTTAAAAATTTTGTCAAATTATTATAGTGTAAAGAAAAATTTCATTATGTCCTACATAGTCAAGAATTACAACCCACAGGTATCATTAAAATTCCCAAGGTTGTAGTAATTTGCTTCCTTTTCAGCATCAACATGACTCTGGGGTTTAATATTTATGAAACTAAGGATACAGAAGTTCCTCAGAACAAGTGTAGCAAATTCTGAGAAGGCATCTATTCCTCTTAAAAACCCCAGGGTAGCATCACAGTGTCATTCATCCTGCAGTAATGAATTAGACATGCCATGTTGGGCAAAATGTCTGTGTCTATTCATGTGAAAATGGCAATTTCAGATAGAAGGACGCACACCACTGGAATGTCGCAGAGGTGGGGTTTTCAGATGCCATTCAAGCCTCTTTGTATCTGCCCTGGCTAACTAGCTGTGTGGAAGCCACTGCAATCCCATGTCTTATGAAAGGACCTAACAGCTAATGACAAGAATAATCATTGCATTATACTGTAGCTTCCCTCTCAAGGATTCTTGTCTTCTTACATAAACTTCTGTTCCTCATGCACTAGATTTCTGGGAATATAATTCTAATTTCTGGGATTTCGTTTTTGTAATGGAGTTTTCAATTCGGCTCTATTTTCCAAAGTTCTTCTGTACCCAGGACCATGACTCATTCCTCCCAGACTTAGAACCTGTTTTTCTCCTTTCGTGCTTGTTCATAATAGAAGTAAGAAAAGCTTTCCTTTTACTCACTAGTGATTGTAGAAGTTCAGACAGCTTATGTTGTAGTTCAGATACCTTACATATTTAAACATGAAGAACTGCTTTAATGCCCTAGACCTATGATCACAAAAACTGTTTGAAAGTCAGTATTTAATTAAAAAATTTTTTTGCTCCAAATGGTGAGAGCAACAACAAAATATATACCACTTTGACTGTTTTAACAGGTACAGTTCAATGGCATTGATTGTGTTTTTTGCGATGTCCAGCCATTTTCACCTTTCTTTTCTGAGTTGTTCCTATCCCACTCACACAAACTCATTGCCCCCTAAGGTTCTTATCTAATCTTTCAAGTTGATGCTATCACTTTAATTCCAGATAAATAGCTCTTGAATGAACATAGTGCTCAAGGCAAACCTTTTTAAATTATTTGTTGTTGTTGTTGTTATGTGCCCTCCTTTGCGACTCATAGCGCCCCTATGTACAACAGCCCTAAACCCTGCTCTACCCTGTGCCAATCGCATTGCCTCTGACACACCCATCCTGATTGCCCCAGTCACTGAATCAATCCACCTCATAGAGGGCCTTCCCCTCCTGTGCTGTCCCTCCACCCTACCAAGCATGATGTCCCTCTCCAAGGACAGGTCCCTTATTACAACATGTCCAAAGTATGTTAGATAAAGCCTCAAAATCCTTGCCTCCAAGGAGCCACCCTGTTTGACCCTTGCCAGGATGAATCTGTTTTCCTAGCAGTCCATGGTACCCTCTATACTCTTCTCCAGAACGACAGCTCAAAGGCATCAATACTTTTTCTATTCTCCTTGGTCATTGTCCAACTCTCTGATGCATAACAAGTGATTGCAAAGACCATGGCCTGTATCAGGCGCACCTTCGTCTCCAAAGAGACACCGTTGCTCTTGAGTACTTTAGAGAGGTCCTTAACAGCAGACTTTCCCATCACAATACTTTTTTTTTATTTCCTGGCTGCTATTAGGTAAGCTAAAATAATAGTTGGATTTAAGAATTCAGAGGATACTTTTGTTTTAAGATTCAAAGATTATTTCAAGTCAGCACTTTTAGGAGTTCATTCAGCTCCATTAGTTACCCAGACACTCTAGATGTTCTGAAATCAATGTGAATTTGAAAATCTCTTTTTAAGTTTCCCCTTTTGGATCAGAATTCCTCTACAGAATCTTTGATCCAGATGTTTAGAAATGATAAAATTGTTCTTTATACTGTAAGAGAATTCATAGAGAGGTCTAGTTAAAGTTATAAACATGTGATTTCTTCTGCTTCTGCTCTAATGCCTACAAAATTAGAAATGGAAATACTTAGGTAAAAAGAACAACAAACTCATAAATATAAGAGAAGAGAGGGGCGGGCAATAGGAGAAAAATCTTGGATCTAAGAGTAACCATAAGAAAGAATAAGAAAGTGGGTTTAACAGTAATAGTAATGTTATTGTTGTAAGCTGTGGAGTCGGAACTGACCCATCAAGAAGACAATAAATGTTCAGGAGAAGATTGCTCATTTTCTTCCACAGAGCAGCTGGTGGGTTCAAACTGCATTCCTTTGGCATGGCAGCACAACTCCTTACCACTAAGCCACCAGTGCTCTCTAGTAATTTTCGTTTGTTCGTTTTGCTATAAAGTCAGAACCAACCCATAGCTGTCCTTCCAGTGGGTTTTCAGAGGCAGTTAATTGCACAGAAGGAGATTGCCCGTCCTCCTGCGGAGCAGCTGGTGGCTTCAAACCATATGCCTTTGGGATTGCAGTGCAGTTTCTTGCCACTAGGCCACTAGAGCTCCTCTAGCAATAAAACGAATATTAATTTCTAACAATCAGAATCTAATAGTGACAGATTCAATGATAAAGTGAACCTAATAGTAACAGTAAGAAATTGGATCTAGTGGTAATAGATTTAGAAGATCCAAGAAAAGGAAAACAAAAGCAGATAGTGTAGGGAGCCAGGATCCATTCTATTTGGTTTTAAACAAACCTCAGTAAGGTTTGAGAAGTGCCTGCACAAAGAGCAGCTGCTAATGGAGATGAAAGCAATAAACACAAAAGGGCTTATTAGCTCCTACTAAAGAAGCCGCACTGCAATCCTGAAGACAGTTCGAGGCTGCCAGATGCTCCTTAGGAGAAGGTTGGGCAGTCTCCTCCCGTGCTGTTAACTGCCTCTGAAAACCCGCTGGAGGTCCAGCTGTGGATCTGTTCTAACTCTACAGTGCACAATAACAAAGAAAGAAATCTAAAGGAACCTTGGTGGCATAGTGTGTAGTGTACCAGGCTGCTAACAGAAAAGTTAACAGTTCAAATCCACTAGCAGCTCAATGGGAGAAAGATGGGCAGGCTCCTCCTCTAACGGTTTACAGCCTCAGAAACTGTTAGAGGGTCACTAAGGTAGGAATTGACTTGATGTTGCCAATGGGTTATTTTTACTTCTAAAGAAAGTGTGGCAGCTCTACAGATCTATCATGGACCTTTTGTCGTCTCCTTTACTACATGTTCTATGCTCAAGGCTGCTTCATAGTCCAAAACAGTTATATAACTCTAGCTATCATGTTTGTTTTCTTACCAAGAAAAGAAATTACTAGAGAAAGACAAATTACTTCTCTCCCAGCTGAATCAGGTTGTATTAAACCATCTTCTTGTACATTCTTCATAATCCTGAATATTATAATACCTACATCATTGACATGAGATTTCTGTACAGGGAAGTTAATAGATAAGACCTAAAACAGAAAAATAAATAGCAATTATAGCATGCTATATACAAACATGAAGATAAACACTGGTTAAAAAGTGTCCCCTCTGCTCAAATCCTTAGAAAGACCAGACTTACTGAACTGGCTGAGACTGCAGTATTGCCTGGGATATATATTTTTTTTGACTTTGAACTTAAAACCATCCCTGCAGTCACCTTTCAGCTTAAAGAAAAAAAAAGAGAGATTAGCTCATTAAATCAAGCATATCAAACATGAACACTGTTCACCTCTACAATATTTTTAGATCAAATGGTCAACAAGTACTTAAAAGCCAAAGTAGAGGCATCAGGGAACAAGGAAATGAGATTATTAGAAATGAGGCAGTCAGAATTAAATGAGAATATTTACACACTGCAGAAAAAGATAACCAATGTCACTGAATAGTTTGTATGGAAATTGTGAAAAGAGAACCTAATTCATTGTGTAAATTCTCACCAAAAATAATATTCTTTAAAAAAATAAATGTTTTCTGTAAGGGTTCATTAAAATTAATAAAATTTAATTTAAAAAAATAAATGTTTTCCCTAAGTGAAGCAGAACTGTGTTATGAGGCTGCGCAGGGAGGTGCTTGTTTTTTGAACTATGTTTTGTAGAATTATTTATTATTCTTAGAGTGAAAAAATATATGTGAATGAATTAGTATTGATTTTTAAATTTAAATAAAATAATAAAACTTCATAGGGGTTCTCAAGCTCAACAAAATAAAACACATGGATTTCCTATTGATCATTTGTAAATTAAAGTAAGTGTTTACCTTAAGTTTCAGACCATTTTTACTCTGACCTATTAACTTTGAGGAAACAAGCAAGCCTGTGGCTGTCTTTCATGTATTCACTTGGTCCAAGTTCACTCAGCTCTCCAGGGCATGTTTGCACACAGTGACGCCATACATTTTCATCTCACTATACTAGAAAATGGTTGTGACTGATGCTTGAAGAACCTTAAGGCAACAGACTGACATTGAGATGAAACGTTATCTTTCTTGTTCAAGGCAAGGCCCAGCCAAACCAGAAGTCTTGTCCATTCAGTGGCCTGGAAAACGGTCAAGCCGCCGAGTCCAGAGACACAACAGCTTCTCCCCCAACAGTCCTCAATTTAGTATCGGCGGTCCAGGTAATGCCTTGTCATTGTTTTCTCTTGTTCAACATCAACTCAGTTTGTATTTCCCCCTGGATTGATTTTGTTTTAAAACAACAGCCACAACCAGACAAAATGCACAGCATCTTAAAACAATTGTGATGAAATGTTTCCCTTTTGCCAAGTAAATTGGCCTGAAGTGTAAAAGGCCTCAGGGTTAAGAACTGGGATGATAATCCTAACCATCAATTCTGTCTGAACTCCGTGCATTCCAGAGTGAAAAGGACAGTGCCTCCGTCAGCAAGGAAGGGAAAGAGTCCTCAGGGGTAGACAGCCCAATTAGCTAGGTAAATGTTGGTTGAATTGGTGCTTGCCAACTCATTGTAGTAAACAAGATTCGTTTCTTAGGTAAACTCATATAGAATTACTCGTTCCAGATTGCGGTTATGTATCATCAAGACTGAACGGACCCATAGCTGACTCTCCAGTGGGTTTTCAAAGGGTAGTTATTTCCACAGGAGGAGATTGCTCATCTTTCTCCCATAGTGCAGCTGGTGAATTCCAACTGTGTGCCTTTGGCTGGGCAGCACAACTCCCTTTAGTCTACAGCTGCAATCTTGAAGGCATGTGGTTCGAATCCCACCAGCTGCTCCACAGGAGAATGGTGGGCATTCTCCTCTCATGTGATTAATTGCCTCTAAAAACTCACCGGAGGGTCATCTATGGGTCAGTTTGACCCAATGGTACCCAACAACGTGTGTGTGTGTGTGTGTGTGTGTGTGTGTGTTTTATATGCCCTCTAGCTGATTTTCACAGTGACCCTAAATAACAGAATAGAACTGCCCCATAGGATTCCCTAAGCTGTATTATTTCTAGAAGATCTCCTCATCTTGGGTAGCTTGGTGAATTTGAACCACTAACCTTTTGGTTAGCTGCTGAGTGCTTAACTATTGCATTACCAGTGCTTCTTAATATATGTCATATGTTGTTTTTGTCCACCATTGAGTCAGAACCAATCCATAGCTGACCCTTTGGCAGGTTTTCAGAGGCAGTTAGTTAATCACATGGGAGATTACACCTATCTTTCTTCTTTGGAGCAGCTGGTGGACTCGAACCATGTACATTCGGATTGCGCACAGCTTCTTGCCACTAGACCAGTAGAGCTTTCATAATTGTTGCTTTTGTTCACTTACTTAATGCTTAATTGTTGCTCATTTAATCCTCACAATGGCTCTCTGAAACTTGTAGTATTAATATTATGATTCCCATTTTACAAATAGAGTAAGGTCAGAGGAGTCTAGTACCAATGTCAGTAGTCTCCAGGGCCAGCTCTCTGAACAGCTACGCCACATCCGGAGTGTCTGTGCAGATAACCTAAGAAGAGAGACACCAACAATCTTCTCCATATGCCTGCATGTGGCTGTCACACTTCAAACATGGCTGGCATCAGGGCCATTATTTCACTGACTCCTGCAATTGCTGGTAAGCTAGTGTAGCATTATTGATTGATGCGTTCCCCTTCCAAAAGAAAAAAAATCAACCACCTCTGGAGGTGGTGAAAATGGCTCAGCAGGACCTGCTATTTTGAATATCAAAGGCCAGTACAGGCCAGAGCATCAAACAGAGTTTTGTGAAAGTGAGCCTGCTGTGATGCATGGATCTATGGGAATCAGTTCTTGGAAAATATTCATGTGAACACATTTTTTTATTAAAAATAAATGTGTTGCCTACACAGTGATGCTGTACTCTTCCCTTCAAGGAATGAGGAAAGTTCTGAGAGAGCCAATATGTCTGCTCTGTCTACACTTTACATATTCCCCTTGTGACTTTTCTCTCCCCACAAGGTTTATTGGAAGAAGACAACCAGTGGATGATCCAGATAAACAGACTGCAGAAGTTAATTGATAGGCTGGAGAAGAAGGTGGGTGCTGCTTTTATTCCTTCTCTCGTGATTTTCAGGAGTTTTTCATTATGTATTCCTCATGGCCTCAAGTACCCATGGCTGCCAATAGACATAGTTAACAGTACTACAGATAGCTGTTGAGTTGTTGTATGCTGTCTAGTGGGAAGCAACTCAAACCTGAGCCTTCAGTGGGTTTTCAGAGGCAGTAAATCTCATGGAAGGAGATTACCCATCCTTCTCCTGCAGAGAAGCTGGTGGGTTCATACCACATGCTTTTGGGATGCAGCACAGCTTCTTACCACCAGCCCACCATGTGAGTAGCTGCCCGATTGTTGGCATATGTTGTTGAGTCAACTGCTACTCATAGCAATCCTATGTACAATAGCTCTGAACTCTGCCCTATCCTCAGCCATTCTTACTGTCTCCTATATACCTACCCCCATTACCCAAATTACTTTGACAGTCTATTTCATCCTGGTCCTTCCACTTCTTCACTGACCCTCCTTCCTTCCACGCATGATGTCCTTCTCCAAGGACTGGTCCCTCCTAGCCACAAGCCCAAAGTATGTCATATGGAGCTTCAAAATTCTTACCTCCAAGAAGCAACCTGGTTTCACCCTCTCAGGGACAGGCCTGTTTGTTCTCTTGGCAATTCAGGGCATGTATATTCAGTACTCCTCTCTAGAGTCACAACCCAAAGACTTTGATTCTTCTTCTGTTGTTCTTATTGATTCTGATGCTTAGCAAGTAATTGCAAAGACCATGGCCAGGATCAGGTGCACCTTAGTCTCTAGACTAAGATAGTTATTTTTTAGCACTCTAGAGAGGTCCCTGACAGCAGATTTTCTCAATGTAACTCATCTTTTTTTATTTTCTTAATTCTAAAGAGTGGTCCCAAGAGGGTTGATTTTGGCACTGAGTAAACTGAAAACTATTAACAATCTCAATCCCTTCTCCATCCATCAAGTGCTGTCAATTGGCCCACTGATGAGAATCTCTGTTTTCTTTATATTAGGCTTCAATTCATATTGAAGGCTGCAGTCCGTGACCTTCTGCAGCAAAAGCCTCATGTCCTTCTCAGTTTCAGCAAGCAAGGTTGTATCGTCAGCAGAATGCAGGTCGTTAATGAGTCTTCTTCCAATCCCAATGCCACATTCCTCCTCATAAAGTCCAGGCTCCCAAATAATCTGTTCCGCATTCATTTTTTAAAGATATGGAGGTAGGACACATTCCTGATGCACTCCTTTCCTGATTTTGGACCATTCAGCATTTTCTTGCTCTGTTCTGACAATGGATTCTTGGTCCAAGTATAGATTTCACATGAGCATAATAATCACGTTCTGGGATTGATTGCCACTCTTCTCCATGTTAGGCACAACTTGTTATGATCCACACAGCAAATACATTTGCATAGTAGCTGTGTGATTTTGTTTGTTAGGGTAAATATAGAATCACATTTTAATTTTCCCTCTACTCTCAATTACATTTAAAATAAGAGGTGAGAGTGAGCGTTAACTATATACTGGGCTGCCTGATTCAGAAATTGTCAGTGACTTGTGTGTCAGTGTGTTTGAAGGATTCTAGTAACAGTACATCTTTGGAACACCTTGATTGAAGTCTTAGAAATATTCATGATTCATGGAAGTGACTGTGATCCTAAAATATGTGATTGTATACTCAATTTTTTTAATTATACTAGTTTATTTACAAAATTCTAATATATTGTTTCTCACACCAGTTCCTTCTCATTTCTCTAACCCCTCTCTCCCCATCAAATTGTACGACATCGTGGTGTACACTCAATGTTTAGTGAGCTCTAGTGGATTAGTGGTAAGCAAGTGTGCTGCCAACACAAAGGTAGACAGTTCAAATCTACCAGATGACTTCATTGGAGAAAGAGCCATTGACTGCCTCTGCTGACCTGCTGGAGGGTAAGCTATAGGTCAATTTGACTCGATAGCGTACTCAACTTGTAGGGAACTCTGGGTACATAGTCGTAGGGAATCGGGCTCCTAACCCAAAGATTACACCTCTCCGTAGTTCTAGTCTACCATTCTACCTGCAAAATGAGCAGTAACCCCCACCCTCTGGTGTAATTTACAGCCTCCAAAACCCCAGGAGAGGGTGAACTCTGAGTTAGTTCTGGCTGAATGGCAATGAGTTTGAGAGATGCTCAAGTTTAGATATTAGGACGCTAAATTGGCATTAAAGCTACTCAGAGCAAGTTGGGAAGTGAAGAAAAGATCGTTAAGACTCCATGTTTTTAGTTATTATCTGTATACCTTTATTGAATAAATAAATTAATGTCAAACACTTCTGCTCTTTTAGTGGTATTCCTCCTCATAAAGCTTCGACATCAGGGGCAGCCTTTGCCAATCAGTAAAAAAATGTATTTCTCTGCAAGCCTAGCCACCATTTATATTTGAGATAATGTTATTGACTTTGTAGAACTTACACTTGACTTCTAAAAATAAACGAAGTTTCTTTTTTTTAAATGTTATTAACACATTTTTTTTAATGTGGTCACATAGAACCAGGCTCATACATTAAGCTTAGTAAGTCTTTGCCGACTGACTGAGACAAGTCAGTGAATGGATCAGATGTTAAAATCTATAGCTGTTCACTCGAGAGATTCATCACTTTGAACTGGGATGATCAATAAGGACCTCATGTGATAGCAAAGTCATATGCTAAGTCTTAAAAATGATGCTTCTCTGTCATCAAAAAGAACTCTGCAGAAGTGTATGGATGTGCTTACAATGCCAAGTAGAGACTGGAGAATTGTACTCAGGAGTAAGGAGGAGTTAGAAAGTCTTGAAATGTAAGTACCAAGAGGCCTTTCAATATGTTGCCACTGGAAAAAATGCATGCCATTCATTTCCAATATACTAGAATTCTGCTCAAAATTCTACTTCCCAGCAGGAAGTCTGTTTGGTCTCCTTCGGGCCACAGCTAGACAGAGGAGAAATGCCTTGGTTAATAATTTCCAAGGACTGAAGAGAAAGGAGATGAGCTTATTCCCTGAAATTAAAGTGCAATGACATTAACAGTGAAGTAATGCTGGCCAGTTTATGAGCAAACTAACAAGTGTGTCCTGTGGGAAAGAACAGTTGGAGAGGACTTTCAGGAAAGGTCAAGGCAGGAATAGAGGTTATGGACATCAGTCTGGTTAGAAGCTTTTATTTAGGAAAGTAGTGATAAGTCAGATAATACAGACAGAGAGTCACCAGGTTATAGAAGGTCTTAAGTAGCCAATTGAGGAGTTTGGGCTTGTCCCTAGAGACAACACTTTTGTGTTTTGAAAAACATTTACTGTTTTTCAACAGTTAACAAGCATAATCAACAGGATCCTTCAGATACACAACAGGGCAATAGGAATGCAGAACAGATTAGAAGAAGAAAATACTAGGCTCTGAGACACCAGAAAATATTATGAAAGGTTTATGGACCTTAATCTACTGGAATCAGATGGATGACAATAGGCCTAGACTAGTTAGTGAAAGGGAAGAAAAGGATAGATTTGAAAAGACTTTAACTCTGCCACTGACTTTGTGTAGTGCATGAATGACAGTGGGAACTGACTCCTGTGAAGAAATAGGAGTCTGAAGATGTAAACCTGGTGTCTGAGAGTGTTATACCTATGGCGTAAAAAAGAGGGACAAGGGAGAAATCATCTGTGAGGTGAGGTTAGAAAATGAACTCGAGTTTGTGATGTCTCCCCTTCAGAGTGCAATGAGACCGCTGGGCAGAAATATCCAGTCAGGTGTTAGTGGGACAAAGGCCAGGCCAACCAATTCTTAAAGGCCTACTCCACAAAGAGGAAGCCACAAGTTTGAGAATGAGTTAAGTCTCTGAAAAGAAAATTCTATGGAAAGAAAAGCCAAGTGTCAAGGAAGCAACCTTTATGAGTTCCAGTTTCTCTGCTACTGAGTTTTCATTTATGAAATCTGTATTAACCATAGGCTGCGACAAATATTTAATTAAAATTTACTGAAAACAAAATTTCTTCCTTTCTTTTTTTTTTAAAAAAAATATTATTGAAGCTAATATTTTGGTATATTGCTATGAGATGATATTCCTTGGAGAAGGACATGATGCTAGGAAGGGTGGAGGGTCAGTGAAGGAGAGGAGAAGCATTAACCAGGTGGATTGGTACAGTGGATTACTGCAATGGGCTCTTGTGTGTCAGGAAGTGTGAGGATGGTACAGGATAGGACTGGGTTCAGATCTTTTGTTCAGAGGGTTGCTATGAGTTGTACTCAACTCAACAGCACCTAACAACAATAAGCCTAGAGGCAAAATTGTGGCTATGGAAATTATTCTTTATATGCTGAAAGTTCTCGAAATCCAAATGTATTTGAAAAACAAAGTTTGTTAAGACACAAAGATTTAGTTGTTAAATCAGTTTGGATTTAAATTTAAAAAAATATTTTTAAGCTCTTAGCAGACGTGTGTGTGTGTGTGTGTGTGTGTGTCTGAAATTTATATAGCTATATTTAAAAGTATAGCTCATACTTGGGTCAACCCTTTTGATTTCTCTTTCACCTTTGCTTGAAGTGAGGTATCGTCATGCCTTTTCATTCCTAAACTCCTTTCCTAGGAAAGGCTTTCATTTTTAAGGCAGTGTCTAAGAGGTTGGCTGCAAGTACAGTGTGATGGTTTACAGCATGGGGTCCCTGCTGTGTGGGGCTCAGCAGGGACTGTTTAAATGAGTGGAAAAGCAGAACAAGTTTGGTTTTCTCACAGACTTTAATCTGCACTGGGCTGAATTGGGTTTTCACAGAAAACTACCCAATTACCAAACAGTGTTATCTAAGTGCATGTCTTCTCACCACTGACTGCCTTGTCTCCTGTAGCTGTTAACACCAGGTTTGATTGCCCTTTTCTTTCTATTTGGTATTTGTGATAAGTCCTGGCTGTTCTGTAAATCACAGCCCTACACCACTGGTGTGACGGATGGTTACCCTTGTAGTTTCTACAGGCTTCTTCAGGTAGTCCTTCATTTTCTGGGTATGAAT